TCAGTGGTAAAATTCAATATCTACAACGGGCACAGTAAAGACCTTTATTGTAAGTCTTTCTACGACAGACCAACGGACCACGAGTGCCCCTGTCGGTCAACCAATCACGTACCGCGGTACCCCGTGTCATCTTGCGTCACGATAAGCGACGCGGTAGCCGATTACCTCCGGTACGTGTCTGTACCGCTCACTTTGAATGGCTGCATCTGTAGGACTTTCCACCTTAACTAATTTATTCATTATATTTTTAAAATTTCAACCTAAGAACGTAAAATTAGAAACAGAACTTGCTCATTATTAAAAAAAACACTCCAGTAATTTACACAGATGGCTTAATTTGACTTCTATGTGGACTATAAATGCATTTCTTTACCCAGATGCTATTTACACACTTTTCATAATATTTTTATTTTTTACAGTAGTTTATGTAAAAACTCAATCATAGTGAATATACTGCAAATAAAACTAATTAGTATTAATCTAATAAAAAAGAAGAAGATTAAAAAATATTTTCTGGGCAAAGAATATTGTTCAGGGTTATGGGTTTCTTCACCTCAAAAAGACTTTAATAAATCATGATTTTCTGTGTCATAAACACTGGCAATCAGAATTTCCTTTACGCATGACACTAAACACAATTGGCTGTGATAAGCTGACCACTGTCATATATATATACTGTATATACTAATGAAACATCACATACTGTACAATGATTCAATGATCACGGCTGCTTTGTTATTGTAAAAAAACATAAAAGGGTATAATTACTATATATTTTTCCTTATGGGAATTGGTAAAAGGAACTCCTCTTTATTTCAGTGCTGGTGTGTTTGACTGTACTAATAGTAACAGAAATCTGGTGATGCCATTTAAACAATTTTATTTTATGAATTTTAAAAATATAACAACCTTCAAGTTATTTGTGTAAGAAACCATATAATTCCACATTATCACCATTTGTAAACGTATTTTAATCTGCATACCTTTGATTATTAAATCAGTCAGTTAGAAACACTATGTGAATATGTAAAGAAGTGGCAATCAGCTGTTTACTATCAATAGTATGGGGAGCTCTGTAACCTTTTAGTGATTCTAATTGTGTGTATCGAACAACAGGTTATTCACATACCTTTGGTTATAAAAGAACCTGTTCTGCTGAGGGCTGAGTTGTTGCTTGAAGTGGAGTCACAGCGCAGAAGAGGTTCGGATTCGTCAACAAAGAATCCCTTGGTCCTGTCCACAGGAGAGTGCTCCACTACAACACCCATGGACTCTGAAGGCTTGTGGGTAGGGCTGGGGCATTGGGCTACATTCACAGAGGTCATCAGATGGTTCAGATCAAACTGGAAAAAAAAGTACAAAATGCAGGGAGAAACTAAATCACCTAAAAATGTAAAGTTTTAAAATAACCCCATTTATAAACCACAGGGATCTTTAATTTATGGGACACCATATTAAGGAGTCCTGAACCACCGACAGCTATGCCCTCAATTTTCTCCATTCTACGTCAACATGTTATACAAGCAAAATCTATGAAAGAACTCTGTAGATTTACAGAGGAAGAGAATGTGCCACCCACATGCCACATGGCTCATATCAAACTCCCACATGTTCTAATATTATGCATAACTGTAATCTAAATCAAGTTAATTGTAATAATTGCGCAGTATAAAGGGCAAAACATTACAAAAAAATAAGAACTGAAACAGAAAAAATTCAATTTCTTGTGGGCGCTTACTCGAGTCAGCTATCTTATTAGAGACATACTGGTATCGACGTGTAAATTCACTCTGGTTTCTGTGTCTCATACACCGCAGCCAGAGGTTATTGCTGTAGCCTGCCAAAGCACAGACTCCGCAGAGTATCACTTAATTTAAAAGGTTTATTTCAAAGGAAAGGCCTTTTCATCTGATTGCTTAATCAGAGGTATGCAAACTAAAATTAAGTCATCTTATTAACACATAGAAACATTATGTGGATATGTAAAGCAATGGCACTTTTCTACCAATACTATGGGGAGATTTGCACATTTTCTAATTATATGAAGTTACTATTTTACCATCGGTAATAATAGGACAGGGAGACCTACTCCTCTTTTGTCTTTTCATCAGGGCCCTGTTATTTCTGCCTTTTTTTTCTTTTTTAATCTGTTTTAGTTTGTTCAAACACTGTTTTTTATTTGTATTGTTATATATGGAAAATAATTTAATCCTAAAGTGGTCATAGTTGTATGTTTAGTTTAAAGTTCCCACTCTACATAATCTCAAAATTATGTATAAATGACATAAAGGCAATTGCAAAGTGATGTACACCTTGACAGTCATGGCTATTTATATTTAATTTCAAACTTTAACTAATATGATCTTTATACATACATACAAAACTTAAAGTTAAGGAGAATGTGTATTTATATTTTTTTATTTCATACTATGTTGTAAATGTATAGTAGAATATTAAACAGTACATCTGGAAAATTAAATAAAGCATATATCTGATTCCATTAATGCGACAAAATGCAAAGCTGTACTTAAATGTACCCTAAAAACAATAGAGTATGACAAGAAAATGACCACTCATAAAAATAATGACCAATACTCATAAAAATGATTCAGGATGTGCATACAACATGAAGTCATCTAATATCATCATCGGTCATCTATAAAGATTAACAAAGGCATGTTCTATAGATGACACTAGTGGCTAAGAATGCAACACATTTTTAAAGGTCAGAACCACTGAACAGTAGAGGAACTCCAGTACAATTAGCTGAAAAAAAAATGTAAGCAATATCCTGAATCCTAAAAACCCTAAAAACAAGAACAGACTCAAACTGAATAATCCTGCCAACAAATATGGCTCATTTAGTTATGCATGTTAGGCAAGGTTAAAACTGACCTATCAAGCATCAGCCACTAATGCAAAATAAAAAACCTTTACAATGATTTTCTGTGGTTTCCCATGGAGACTGTCACTGTATTTTACCGTGGTGAGGCAGCAGTGGGAGATGAATTAATTGGATAAGTGTTGAAGGGTTAGAAGATACATTCACACACGACTGTGATTAAAGGAACTTTGGTATATAAAGGCTTTATGCCATTAGGTAGTGGTTGGCCTTTAGAAGAGTAATACCATAACACTGACTGGACCTTAGCTGTGGACCCCTGGTTGTGGTGTTTGTATTGCAAGGAACTGACTCATCACTGGGTGGAGTAAACTGACAAAGATCTAGATCGGTGAGGCTGCTATGTGGAATTTAGACATCACTTGCTCAACTGCCTCAATCCAATAGATCCCAATACACATGCCTCACTAAGCAGGGAAGTGTCTATGATAAGACCAGAGTGGCCCATGACTGTTTTGGGGGTAGCAGAGGAGGTCCCAGGAGGAAAAGGGGTAGGAAATCCAAGATTGGAGACCAGATACTTCTTATTTCCAAAGTACGGGGGGAGCACGCACTAATCCAAGTGTGCGCTGAGCTTGAGTAAGCTTGAGTATGGTCATTTCGATTTGTGCTCAGACAATCTATTAGGGTTATAAAAGTATAACCTGCTTTATTATACTTTTCAAAAAGAGAGACTTTAGTCTCCTCCACTCTTCACCAGGCTAACAGTCACCAGGTTAAGAAAGGTTCCAGGGATTTCAAGGAGAAATCCAGGCGTGTTTAAAGGAGTTGGCATCAAGACACTTTTCAGATACATTTTACCATCTTGGGGACTGCTTCATCTCGGTGTATAGATGAAGTGTATAAGTGTATAGGTGGCTGTTTGTTCTACAGTACGCATGGTTAGCTACCCTGCCCCTGCCAAAATGAAATATTAATCATATGTATTTGCTAAAAAAATGCTTTATCAGTTGTTGATGTTCCTCTCTTTCTCACACCCAAAGGAGGCTCCACAGCTAAAACGTTGTGTTTCTCTTCTTCTCTTTTCAGCATGTAATACACCTTTACTTGTTCCTTTGCAGCCTGTGCATGCAGACACACCTACCTTTTACTAACATGAACAGTTTTGAATATTATGTTAAAGTTCACAAAAAGACATAAATAAGAGTAAAGTAGTAACTTTGTTTTTATTTTTATTGTATGTGCAATTACATTATAAAAGCCAAATGCAAATAAGGAAAACGTCTATGTTTAGGATGTCCTTCCATTATGCATTTGCTTCTGTCTTTAGGGTAATGGTCATGAAATAAACTAAAGCAATGTATTGTAAAAGCTGTTCCTTAGATACACTTCTTTTTTAACTTTCCTTATGTGTCAGCAGGCTGGAGACTTTGTTTACATCAATGTTAATTCGATTACAAAAAGGAGTCCTACGCTGACTCATTGAAAGAACAGGTTATTACAATGATCAGCTAAGCAGTAGGGAACATGCTAAGCCAATTAAAGACATCTTAACAAAGGCATATTCTTTCTGACTTGTATCAGTGGTATTCTAGTAGTACCTAGAAGGATCAGATACTTAAATGATTATATACTTAAAAGTGCTTCCCAAGTTCAATAACTTATTAGCATTCTATAATTGTTTAGTGTAATTGTGTAAAAATTGCCAGTTATTGTAGGGTTCCAGCACTTTTCACCCTGTATTACAAAAAATATTTTAAATTATGATCAACTGTGAATATCTGCAGCACCAAGTGGTACTCAGTCTAGATTTATAGTCACATTGCCTAGTACAATGCACAAAATACTGCTCTAATTACTGTATATTGTAATTGAAATCAAAAAGAAAAAAGCTTTGATAAGTATTTACAAAGAAAGATTACAGACACTTAATCTTTTAAGTAAACATGAAAAATAAATAATTTCAAACCCTTTTGCAATATTTTGTTTTGTAAACTTCAAACTCAAATGTTCAAACTTTTATGAGTAAAAGAAGTTAAATCTGTTTTCACCCCCATTACTATGGCAAACTTAAATTAGTTTAGGTGTGCAAAATGTCTTTGTCAACTTGCATAATTTATTGAACTCCATCTGTGAAATAATAGTAGTTCAATGATTTTGGTACAAATATGCCTGTCTCTGTAATGGTCTCTCAGCCAGGTAGTAAATTTCAAGCAAAGATTAAATTATGAAGAACAAATAGCTGTCAAAACAACTCAGGGATAATACTGTAGAAAGCAAAGATCAGGAGAAGGGTTTAAATAATTTCAAATAGCCTAGGCATACCTCTGAGTACACTGAAATGGATCATTAAGTAGGGGAAGGTGTATCATACCATCCAGATGCTGCCTAGATCACGCTCTCTCTCTAACCTGAGCAGCTGAGAGAGGACAAAACTAGTTTGATCTCCGTTAGGCCAACAGTAACTAGATGAGATGGGATTAATGTCCATCAGTCTACAATATCACTCCATGAAGGTGATTTGGTAAATTTATCTCAAATTAAACATGAAGTTTGCAAGAAAGAATATAAGAGATACAGCAAACAAATGACAACATGTTTTGTTTTAAGACAAAACATTTTTGGAACTTTCTGGTCTAAACGCAAACAGGTACATTCCTGCTGGTATATTCCTGCTGTCAAACGTGGTGGCAGCAGCATTGTGTTTTTGAGCTGCTTCAAATATTGGTCAAGACAGAAGAAAGTGAAGCAAAGTCCCTTCACCCAGAATATTGACTCAAGGAGGTGATGTCATGTTCCACATCCCTTCTCTAGAGGGCACTCCTACTCTTTTCTGTTATCAATTAGGTTCTATATTTCCTGGTGTGTCTTGTTTGTATTTTGGTTTATAAGCCTAGCGTTTCCGCAGTTCCTGGCTCAGCTTTGGAAGACGGACGTCTGAAGGCCTGCCTACCACCAGGCTTGGAGGAAGCCTGAGGGCATAGGCCTTCATCCCTGACGTCCTGACCTGTGAGCCCGGGGCTCGGAGCGCCTGGTCCTGGTGTGCTTTTATCTCTCTGTGTTCCTGGTCTTGGTTCCCCTTCCCGGGGATTTTAATCTTGGATGGATCTCCGAGCTTTTGGATTACGGACTGCACCCTGACTACCCCATTTGGACTTCCCTGGATTTGGTTGCCTTAGCACCAGGCACCTGATCACCACAGTCACCACACCTTGTCAGTCATCCTGTCCTAACCCTGCTGTGTCTTCCCTGATGTTCTATTCCAGTCACTTCCGGACAATACCGTGTTGCATAGGGTCTTAAACTACGCATTTCACGGAAGTCAGAACAGACTCCCGTGACAGGTGAATACTTATGAAATCAACATATTTTAGTTTTCGACTGGGTGTTGGTGAATACCATTAATAAAAGGCATTATATTTATAAGTACTTCTACTTAACTACTTTATATTAGATCTGGTTGATAAAAAGTAAATAAGACAAATGTGTTGAAAATTTGATTCTTGAATTAGAATTTATCACACTGCCAAGGATGTATGACTCCTCCACATATAAATGTAAAATTCACACTAAAATACTTCTAAAATGGCAGTGGCAGCCATAGGCGCATGTGAAAGGAAGCAGAAAAGGAGTTTCAAAACTTCTTCCAAATATACTAGAATAGCTACACCAATTTCTTTTTTCAAGTCTACTCTCTTCAGCTTGAAGTAGTCTTCCTCTCACATCTGATGACAAGTTAGGTTTTTAAAGCTGATCTCAATATTCAATTATTTAATTTGCTTCACTCTGTACAAGACACAAGAGAGGAAAGTCTCCAATTACAGTACACTGTGAAAACATCAAATCAAAAATAATGTGAGGCTGATAGGAGGCTAAAGAGCACTACAAATGTAATGCCAAGATATAATTTGTGTATATTTCAAAGATTTATAATTGATATAGGTTTAGAGTATTGCAATTTCATCTGGGTCACTTCCATTTATATATCAACTTAATAGGAACAAGTAAAGGTTTATTATAAGCTGAAAAGTGAAGAAAAGAAACAACGTTTCGGCTGTGGAGCCTTCTTTGGGTGCCTTCTTGAACTACTGTATATCAACATAATTGTTTATAAACCACTATTCTGTCAAGCTTTGTAACTTCCATCATTAAGAATGTGTAATATTCTAACAGATTAATTACTTATAATAAATAATGTAAAAAAGTTGTTATAAGAAAGTACTAAAAGAACATAGACAGGGTCTCATTATGTTTTTTTTGGGAGATCGAAGTTAGCATTGGGACATACAAGTTTTATCTAGCCAGCACATTTTTTGAAAACTTGAGTACAGCATGTACCCTTTATACTGTAATGTGCTGCCTTCAATATCCAGTCCAGTAATTGGCATCCATGTTTATTTGCAGTGATCCATTACAAGTACCGACAGCAAGTCTATTAGTGATTTCATAAAGATAAAGCCACTATTAAGAGGTGCTGACAAGCACGCTCTGTGTCAGTGTAGTATTATTAAGCGAAATGAGAATTCCAAGTAAAAACAATGAGGCTTTAATATGTAACCTTGTAGAAATAAGGATACTCTGAAATATAATCTCATGTCTAGATGAGAATAAAAAAGAATAACTTGCTATTCAAACACTATTGGAGAAGAATGATCTACCTGTATTTTTATGGCAAATAGAGTACATACAGTAAGACATTATGCGGAACATCACTATTCTCTGAGGCAACACTACAACTAAACTGATATTAAACAGGTTTTTATATTTTGGAGTTGTTACAACTGATAGAGTAATCTGCTCACAGACATTTAATATATTAATGGAGTATTTTTAAATGACAGCATTAAACATCATGCTTATACAAGTGGTGTTAACATGCAAATTACATGATCAAAAACACCTGACTAGCATGAACTCAAAAGGATTAATTAAAGAGAATATTAATACAAACTACCTTAAAAGCAATCAGTAAACACAGGATTCACATAGGTTTGTGCTTTCTGGTATGCAATGAGGTATAGACATAACCAGCTTGCTCAGAGATAAGCTAATGACCGACTTGTAGCAAAGGTAGCCATTCTCTGCAATCCTGGTGACCCCCAGTCAACTGTGGAAACAGCCACTGAAACAAGATGGTGTGGCCAACAGCCTTTCTTCAACTTTCTAAAGAACTAACAGTTGGACAGGATTATATTTAATTTAGCCAAATTAACTAATTAGTGGATCAGGTCAGGCCTGAGCTTGATTTTGTGCAAAATGCTATTTTCATATTTCAATATGAAATAATTGACTAAATATTGCTCCAAAGGAACAAGTAATAGGTTTATTCCATGCTGAAAAAAAGAAGAAAGAGAACACAACGTTTCAGCCGTGGAGCCTTCTTCAGGCCTTCTTCAGTAACATTGCTCCGTTACTGAAATGTTATTTTCTTAGATCCACACTGTTCATGCATCCATAAATATAGAAGAGAATGAATAGCAGAGATCAATGAACTACAATGGACCAAGCACCAACATAAACTATTTTGCAGAGAATATGAATTAATTTCAGAGATTAGGTCAATCTTGATGCTTACCTGAGGATTATCTTCCATCACGCCCCGGATCTTTTCCACCACATCATTGCGTCTGTGCCTTCGAAGGGCATTAATAAGTTTGGCGAGATTGGCATCAGCATCTCTGATAGTCCAGTGTTGCAAAGCAGCATAGGCACGCTCGTGGTCTGCTGTGTACCCATTAGAGAATGCTGCCACCTCCCGCTCAGTTGCGTTTGCCAGATATTGGTACATGTCAATCCACTGGCTACCCATTTGCGCCGACACCAATTTGAGGATATCCACACCTGGAAATGGACAGCATGATCATAATGACATACTTGTTTATTTGTTTAAGAAAAAAATACACAGCAAAATATATTGCACTGTCCATAGTATAACTTATAAAACATACTTCGTGGGAGGCAAACATTTCTGCTGGACACTACAGGACACAAGAACACTTAATAGCCAATAAAATGTGTGTCTACTTTGCCACTTTCTCTTTTCTCTTGTGCTGGGTATTTGACCTGAGTTTCATCACTTAAAGGTTTCTTTTTTGGATATTTTCTCCTCTCTACCTGTTGATGCAGATTTAAAACTTTCTGGCATGGTCTTTTAGCTATCAAAAAAGTGGTTCCAGGATTCTTGCTCATGTACATTTAGAGGCTTTGCTTTCAGAAAGAACAGTCATGACTATTATAAAAGTGAATTGTGCTGCAACAATGACTGAGAGAACCATGCTGGTAAATGAACAAGACATCTCTGTTCATCTTTAGATATCTTTCTGTAATACAGCACAATTCCTTGTAACAGTTCCATATGCTCTTTGTTTGACTGCATCATTTTTTCACAGAAACTCCATTCATTCTGCATCTACTCAATGTCTCAGTAATGACCTATTCTTGTACACCTATCGCAGAAAACACATAATAATGTAAAGTCAATCTGAAGGGAGGGTTGTGCTATTTTTCCATTTTCTGGACCACACTCAAATTAAAATGGTGATGTATATGTCTTTCTCTGCATAAACTGAACCTTTTTTCAATATTTTGCATAGCTCTAAGCAGTCACAGCATATGCATGGGTGATATATGGTAATGAAATTAATCTAGATACAATGGGTAACACCTGGCTGGTGCCGATATTTCCAGCTTCAAAGCAAGGGGGAGTTTACTGAGTGGTGCTCCCAGATTCAGTGATCAAATCATAAAGTCTACATTGGTTTAGCTTAATTATGTTCTGGGTAAATGATTAAGTTTCAATTAAAAGTAAAAACCAAAAACCTCCTTGTTCCTGATCATGCATAAATACCAGACTGGAGATAAGTATTTGAACGTTGTTAAGAGAGTTTGCTCCTTTTTTTGGATTTCTTTGTGAAGAAGCCCCTGGTTAAAAACAGCCTCTCCTGGTTAGTGAATGGATTTTTAGAATAGGGAGATAGGTTCCCATTCATTTTGTGGCATCCAGGTATGCAGAGACAGTTTTAACCGCAGGCGGTATTCTGTTTGGTTTAGAGGCAGCTTTCTCTTTTATGGCCTTGTGTGTTGTTTAGTGTGGGTATTCACTGTTAATAAATATCTAACCCAGTGTGCCTGAATTATTACTCTTTTCAACTAGGCTGTGCCAGAAAACGAAGAACTCACGTGCCTCTAACTACACAAACCGCTTGGGTATATTCCTGGAAAAGACACAGTATTTGCAAGTTCGCGGTTTAAATATGATTATTTAATTTACGTATTGATATATCCATTCTGCTCATTTCTGATTTTCTCCATTCTCATACCACCCTATTTGTAACAATATAGAATTGCAAAAAAAAACAATTAACTGAGCACAACACAGCTGCAGCTGCTTCCAAAGCCTGAAAACTATGGAATTGTGTATTCATTTGTAAACAAAAAGAAAATCACCCTCCCATACTGCATATGCTCACCATATCAGTCCCTTTCAAACACAATGCTCTAAGCCACCTGTTACACCACGCCCCCGAGGAGCGCGCCTGTGTTCCTGAGAAGGACATTTTGGATCCTCAATTGATTACCAATTTCTGCCGGCATCTCTCCAATCGATCCCCTAGGGCGTCGGGAGCCGCCCCTGGGGAGGGGGGTAATGTTACACCACGCCCCCAGAGGACTCGTTACTCCACCTTGCACCAGCACGGTTTCCAATTAGCCTTTTACCGCAGCCTGTTTAATGCTTTACACTCTCAACTGTGCTCAGTATTAGGTTTTCCTGGCTAGAGGAAATCATCTTCCTGCGATTAATTACGTCTTGGTTTTTGTCTTCCTGACCCTGGTTTGTTCTCCGACTACATCTCCTGGTTTTGTTTTGGTACTTTGACTATTGTTCTGGCTTATACTCTCAGCTGCCTCACGGCTTACAGCTCTGCTTCTGATTTTGTACTTTCGTACCGGTTTGTTTCCCTTTGCCTTTCAGACCTCGGACCGTTTAATCGGCTAGGCCTCTGAAGTTCATCCTGATTATTCTGCATAGGGTCCTCATTAATATTCCATAACACCACCTGAGAGTATCAGGGGTTTAGTGATATGGAATTTACACCAAAAAAAAACATAATATTCTAGTTCTCTTGAAATAATGACATCTGTTAACAAGACCTAACCTCACCTACCTGTAGATTGTATTTAGATTCTGTCAGAGAACAGAGATATTATTCCATACTGTAATTCAATGGTATAGTGGTTTAGCAGGGAATTTATTTTGGGGCAGTTTCAAACCTTTAATTATGATTTAGAGTAATGCATGAATATGATTTTTTTTGTATTATTGTTTCATTCAAAGTATTTTTTGGCAAACTATTTTTAAATTTGAGGACATTTTCTTCTACATTCTGCTTAAATGTGCTATGGTGAGTTAAAGATTATTATTTAATTTTCCTGGACATTTCTTTTGCTATGCTTATAATACCTGATGAGCCACACAGCTCATTTCCCTGATGATGTGGCCATTCTGGGCTAAAATAGCTGTGATTTGACTGGACAGGAAAAGTAGGTCATGGGTAAGTTACCTTAACCAACCAAAAACTAATAATGATTATCATCATCATCATCATCTATCCAAAACCACACCCAGCTAACAGTAAATGCCCTTATTCCAACACACTCTTTTTTAGGAGCTTTGAAGGAAGACTGGAAATTTCTAAACTGCAAGGCTGGGTATCAAATTCATTTTGAAGAAATGCGTCACAAGACCTATGTAGGTCAACAAACCATTTTGAACAGTATGGGAGTTTTGCCTGCTATTTGTCACAGCTCATTATATTACAGAAAAGGGAGATGAAAGCACACAGCCAGAGGTCTAAAGAGGCTACTCACTATGTTTCCCTCAGAATGCAGTTCTCAGAAGCTAAAAGAAGCCTACATGGAAAAACTGGTACTTTACAATACCGTTTGAAGAAAATATGTTTCAAAACACAATTATTTCCAATTTGAAGTCAATGTAATTCAGTAAAATTCAATCTTACATCTGAAAAACAATGCTGCTGAATGATTAATATTTCTTGTTATTTTTAATTCTTAGAATAAAATATTAAAGCATCATAAAAGTAATAGTTTTTATTTCAAATATTGAAGACAACTAATGATTTTTAAAAAATAGAATCTGTTAGATACACAACTCTGTTGCAACTGGTGGTGATCATCAGACAAACATCTGGATAACATAAAAAACCTAAATCCACAGGAAAACTGCAAGCGGAAAGCTCCGTGCTTGTTGATGTAATTCCAGCAGTTAGAAGGATGCCAAACAAAAACGTGCCATCTAGTACTGGGGCTTTAACTTGTCATAGGTGGGTGAATTTAGATTTTCTTCATAAACTTTGATTGCATCTAGGTCATTTATACAGTTGCAGAATACTACTAATTAATTAATGTACTTAATTTAATTAATTTAAATTTACCTTTGTACAAATCTAGACAGCTGGGCATTTAATTGGAGCTATTCAGGTGAAGAACCTTGCTCAAGGGTACAGGCGTCTCACCTAGGATTTGAACCAACAATGGTCCAGTCGTCCAGAACCCTAGCCTCTACTCCAAATGGCTGCTCGAATACACCTAGAGCTAGTAATAAGACTGATGGCAGCTGATAAACTAGGATTTAAACAAGGAGAATGTGAGTGGTCCAAAGTGCAGGCATGCACTGCCGGAAGATCTAAGATTTAAGGCTTAAAAACAATACAAAATCTACAATAATATTTTATATTATTTCCAACTAGAGCTTCATTAAGAAAACAATGTATTGAAGGTGTGCATACAAAAGAGTAAATAAGTGCTAATAGCAAGTTTCTTTAAGTTTGAGAATTAAAAATATTAGTGCAATAGAAAGTAAGATATACTGAAACATCTACAGTAGCTCAGTTAATAGATCACCAACTGTGTGTAAGAAGATGAGTCAGGATATCATGACATTTATAGACTGAAGTAGCAAAAATATTTAATTTGTCTCCTAAGGAAAATAGCAACATTGAAAAACAACAATGCTCATTTGACTCTGTATTTTCTTTAGAACATCTAAAATTACTGAACGGCTGTAAATGACACTACTCTCTAAAATAAATTCATCTAGAATAGGTAAAGATCTTTATCATGACAAAATCCAAAAAGCCCTTTAGGAGAGGAGCAGAGTAGAGAGGAGTTCTGCTATAGCTGAAAGTACGCCACGTGCATGGGAGTTTCTACAATAGCCTCTGAGACTAGATCCTCCTATGGCCTTTGTGCAAGTGCTATTTTATTTTCATGCAGTAATCCTAGTCAGGCACCAAACCAGCTGCAACAGGTTCTGAAAACAAATCCTTTCACCGTGAGCAGAAATGTCCCCTTTCTTCTCTGGTCTTTATTACAGCAGAAAAAAATACCATTCGGTTCAAATGGCGTCAACATAAGGTGTGTGTTCAGTGTAATCATCCGAGATTTGCAAACAATTAAACAAATATTTAGATACAAAGCCTGCTCATCCACTGGTGATGGGACTTCTTACATTGTTACTTCTGACTCTATGGACATCACAGAGCAAAGTAATGTCAAAACCTCTGTTTTAAAGAATTAAAGAACTTCACTGCACATCACTTCATTCCATATACAATTTTCATTTGCTGTTATTCTAGCACACTGTATGTTATCAAAGAGTATCAATCATTTGACAGAACAGTATGACAAATATATGCAATTAATATATCTATTACAGATTATATAAATCATATCTATAATTTAATCATTATTACAGGAAATTCTCACAACTCAAAACATGCAAAATGAATAGAAACACAAGTACTTGTAGGAGTCAGAAATGTGATAACTGTGAAGGAATTGTAAAAAAAGACTAGTTAGTGAAAAACAATAGAAAAACAATCACCAGGATAAAGCTATAATAATAGGTTTTGTCTATTGGCTTACCATGGTTATAACATGGTAAATTGTAGAATACAATATTTATGATTACACCATACATAGTTACACATTTATTTTAAACTTAATTTCAGTTTTATTTACTACACTTTATTCTGCTTTTTCATGCAGTACCACCCCAAACCTTCATAATTTAAGTAATGGGTGTGGTTGTAAAAAATAATACCCATTGTGAATTAAGACAGAGTATCACAAACATTCTTCTATGGATGTGTTTCTCTTGCAACATGTTTATTACTGAAGGTCATGATGTCCTCATGGTGGAACAAGTCTGAGTTTAATAAGTAAAATGAGTTTCAGTGCCCTGGGTGTTGCTCACTAAACACCCTGAATTGATAAAAACAGTATTTTGTTTATGGAACTCCAAATAGCTGAGTTTTACTTGGATATTTCTATGTACATACAGAAAATGCTGCCAGAGCAAAACTGCATATCCATTCAACTAAAAATTGTGTAGCTTTTGCTTAAAAACATTAAATGTAGTTGTTCTTTAAAGTCTGAAAATAATTAAACTTGAAAAATCCCAACCCATAACAACAAACTTCTGACATTATACTAAATGATTGGAAATGTTAACTTTCCTTTGATTTTTAAATTCTCTCACTACACGTGTAGTTCCCCAAATTGAAATTATTTTATTAATTTAAAATTAGGATTGTGAAATAAAAAATATCTTTATATTATTAAATTTTTTAAATATTCTTTATATATTATAAACTCTATATCTTTAAAATATCTTAATTCTTTGTATTGTATTCAGGGCCCCAGAATTTAAACACAGCATCTGTGCTGTTGTAATCATAATGGGTAAGATGTAAAGTAATCATATGTGGCTGAAATGAATTGTGGGGAATTTTCAAATCTAAAAGTATTTTCAAAATACAATCAAAAATCAAAAAGAGATTAAATATTCTTAATGAACTGAATAAAGTTACAATGACTCTGACCAAAAAACAAACAAAACATTTCAGCAGTGAGAAAGAACGGGCAGTACAACAATATCTTAGTTTAAATAATGAATTTGTATAAGCACAACACACACAAAAAACAGACTGCTTTGGATACATATATTTACTCATAATATTTTAAGTGTTATGAGCCAATTTCACTTTTGGTGTTGACAGTTTTGCTCTGCTTAGTTTCCTTAGTTGTAGACACAGACTTCAATGAGACACTAAAGTGTGGGAGCCTGTTTCTAGATCGCATGCATTGGAACAATGATAAACTTTACTGACACTGTAAAGTCCACTCAGAACTGGATTAATCTGGTTCAAACTGCACAAGGTTGGAGCTCGCAAAACCGGATATCTGAAGCTGACATCTAGAAGCTTAACACTGCAGTACTTAAGTTTCGGTACAGTAACCTAGCAGCTGGCAGCTGCACTTCCCATTACAATTAGACAGCTCAGACGGCCACCTTACTTAATTCTTTTTATCTATGTACAGTACTTACAGAATGTTTTGCAAAATTTTTAACAAATAATACACATTACAGCAGTGAATGTGCAATTTCATAATGTAATTTATTAAATGTATTGTATTTTGTTTCCATACGCATAGAGTATATGTAAATAATACAATCCTGTATGTGAGTAGTAGTATATTGTAGAACACTAGTAGTATATTGCAGAGTATATAGTATACTATATACTACTACATATAGCAGTATATGCTGGACATATAGCAGGAGTGAACTCCATAGTAATACTTTCCCAAGAATGGCTTGAAATTGAATATTTCAAATACACTACTAATCTTTGCAAAAAAAAAATCCTTTGATAATGAATCTTCCCTCTTAGTATATGCAAAAATAAAAATCTATAGGAAAAAATAACATATATTGTAATACATACAAAAAACACATCCAGAAGTATCTGATAACTTGGTCTTGCACATCATAAAGCACCTAAAGAAGGGATTCATACAAAAGGCTGATTTTCATGCCACTGATGTAATAATACAGTATGTGGGAAAATCGTCATGTACTGTAATTCTCTAATGGAAAAATACTACTACTGTACTTCTGCATACTTACTTGGATAACACTGTAAAAAATAAACTCTGTGGGGAGTATGGTCTTTACTTACCTTGTCCACTGGAATAGTATATCCACTTCTCTTTATTTGGAGTCGGCACAGCAGGTTTCTTTTGGATTGCCTTTTCCATGATACTGCTTGGGTCCTGTCTGGGCCCTTTCTTCAGCACCCTGGAGCTCCTCTTCACACTGCAGACCACAATAATCACCAGCACCAGCAGGATAAAAAGGACAATCATCCAGGGTAGGTGCTCATTGATGTCAAAGTGCTTGTGTGCACTGGGTCTGGGGGATCCCCTCCTAGTGGGCTTGTAGCCCAGTTTCTGGACCCTACTGTCCTCCAAGGTTTCCATCACTGGCTGTAATTTTGTAGTAGACTGATGACTGTGGTAGTCCCTGTGATGCTTGTGATGCCTCCTTGGTGATTCAGTAGCCTTGTCTTGCTTTGTGGCTAGGGATCCGACATGCTGTGAGTCATTGTCTGATGTGCTCACAGTTGTGTCACTTGGTTCTGTCACTGTGCTGGTCAACAAGCTTTCTGAAGTGCTGTCCTGACCACCTGTTGTTGAGTTAAAGATATCTAACATAGCACACACACAAAAAGAAAAGAATGCTAGACTTAGTCCAAAGACAGGAGTAACCCAGACAGCAAAACAGACAGAAGAAATTCTAAAACTTTAATCCACTAACAACTAATCACAGAATACCCTCATTGGCACTGGAGCAACTGTGCAGCATCTTTTAATCTGACATTGAATCTAAAAGCATTTGGCCGCTCATGTTCTGAAAATGATTTTGTTGACCTAATTTTCTTAGAATTTATAACATTTTATAAAGAACATACCACTATTTGAATTAAAATAAAAGAATAAAGATTATTTAATTTTGCATTTATAGCACATCATTCACGTATGCCTGCACTTGAGAGAATAGCATTCTCTAACAATTTAGCAAACGAGGACAAATATCCCCCCACTTGTATAGAGTTACAAGTTTTACAGTTTTTGGAGCTCTTTCACGACTAATGTGTAGATGTTGCTAAATCTTTTTCCATTCAATTTAGACAAAATACACAGAAACCCCAACACAGCAATAAACACTTTGGACACACAGCTCCTGAACCCATTTAATTTAAGGAAGACGTGCTTACAAAGCATCAAGTCATCAATTGACCACCAAAAACAACACCGGTGGCATCAATGGGCAGTTAAGAGGGAGATAAAAAAGAACGATTTAAAAAACTTAAAAGAACTTATAAAAAAGAACTAAGTTCATAAGTGATTAACCAGCTAGCAATACAATTTAATAGTGCACTTTCTAGTACAATTAATGAGTACCACATTTCAGTGTTAAATTCCCATACTCAAATGTAAAATTATACATGCATATTATGTATACACATTACTTCTTTTGAGCCTATTGTTAAAATTAAATATGAAAATTAATAAAGGACATAATAACTTTCGTTACTGTGACTTATATCCATCTTTCTATAAATTACTATGTACAAAATATATAAGGACCTTTCATTTTCAACTTGTTTTATTGTAGTTTCTGACGCCCATGACCCTATTATGACTCATGTCAGGAGGACACAATGAAATATGAAGCTTCTATAGCCCATTGCAGTATTATTTCTTCTACAGCCCATTATCTTCTTTACAGTTCCCACCAAAGAACATGTTATTCTTTGGAGAAAGACAAATAATCTTAAAATTTGTTCCCATAAGCCTTATTACACAAAGGCTATAAACTAAAGTGTTACATAAAACAGGCTGAGAAGTTCAAACAAACTACATCAATGCAATCCCATCTACATTAGTACTAATTTAGATATTCTTTACATTTTGACTGTTTTACATTAATTTATCTAACCACTATTTTATCAACCATCCGTTCTCTCCCACTTATACTATCCTCTATTTTAGAACAACATAAGGTCGTCCTAATGTTGTTTTTAGCAGATACTGTTCATTTTATCATTTAAGTCTGACTGTAATTGAGTGGTTTTAGTAAGTTTAAATTTTTATTATATTGTATATAGTACATCCTGGCTTAACCAAGATATTCACAGCAGAAGAGGCCAGAACAATTCTTCCAAATACGCGGTCAACACAAAATTCAAGTGTAACATGGGAGATTATGCCCATGACCCAACCAGAAAGAGACCAACACTTTGAGATCTCAAGATATTACATGGAAGAAAAGTGAAAGTGTTGAAGAGAGTTCATAACGTTTGGATTGCAGAGAACACATATTGTATCCTAATATCTCCCAGTACAAAATTTGTGCATTCTGCTTGAGAACATGTGGATCTCAAAATGGCTTTATCAGTCACCACAGGGTTGATGGAAGACAACTATCGTCAACAGCGAGGAATAGTTCATGAACAAATATCATGTACTATATACAGCCATTTTGGTAGGGTTATAAGCAAAATTAGAACTGATTTTTATTATTATTTCTCATCAGTCACGGTCAGTGTAGAGAAAAGAAAATAAACTATCAAACAAAACCATAAAAACATTAGTCTTCTATTAACTCTAATTCTCAACATTTCCCAACAAAGACATCCAGATATATGAGGTAATTTGGCCATTATTTAACTTTTAAGATATAAAGGTTCCCAAATGTATTACGACTAAATAAAGGTAAGAAATTGGTATTATGTAAATTTTAAGATCTTGCTTGAAAATTTTTAAAAAGCTTTCTGATTAAAGGTAAAATGTTACCCAGAATATTACTGTTCTGGTGAGTTATGAAGTACAAAACTGGCCAAAAAGTAACATCTTTTTAGCTTTGAGCGGGTGACAGGAAATTGACACCAGTGTTGACACTACTGTCTTTAGTTTATGTACACCACTGGCAGTTGCCCACCCTGTCAATCTTTACCTTTTTGTGCAAAGTCCGCAGAAGAGGCTTCCAAAAAAGCTGAACTCACTGGAGCCAGACTGGTGAAGGAGTGTGAGGGATGAGCACCACAGCTGTTATCAGTCTCTCTCGTTCCTGGAAAGATGATTGCCAGTCCCTGGGCTGTGCAGTTCGTATGAGTCCGGCACTTTAACACACTGGAAGACACATCAGAGAAGGTACCCCGGGGGCATGTTCTGCATTTGACATCTTCTACCTGACTACCCTTTCTCCTAACACCCCAGCCCTTTGAACACTGTGAGTGGGGTCTGCAGGTTTCATTATTTATGAAGAAACCAGGGGAGCAAGTGCACTCGCGGTCAGACAAGGCTGTACAGGGTCTCTTCTCAATAAAAGGTGCCAGACATGGTTCCTGACAGCGGTGGCATCGCTCTATTCCATTCACACGCTTGGTGTAGGTACCGTTCTGGCAGGGACTGCACTCCCTCAGGTTCGTATCGGTGCAATGTTTGGAAACATAGGTCCCCGCAGGGCATTTGTCACATGTCACAGTAATGCCTGTTCTGTGGTCAGTGTAGTTATAGGTCTCAGCAAGAGGGACGTCTACAGCAGGATTGGACGTCCATTTAACCTGAGCAGAATCACCACAGGTGAACAGGAACAGCAGCTGAAAACAAACAAGCACACAACAGTTATTTAAATGTCTTACTTTACTTGGCATTCAGTGCACCAATGTAACAAAAGCATTTTAAAAGACTAAACAGACAATGACACAAAATCGTTCAAAACTACTAAATTGTTCAGTCATCACAGTGAAGTCATTAAGAAAAAAAAAATCTGAGGTTAATACAACACCTTTGAAACCATACCATGGTTAACCCAAGCTGGACTGAATTGTTATGTCATTATGAAACAGATGACTGTCTTATCGCTTACATCACAAAAACGACTACATTACTCTTTGCTTTATACGCAGTTACAGTAACTAGGCAATAAATATAAAAGATAATTACTAACTAATGTTCTTACTAATTTAACAAGAGATTACAGTAATTTAATTTTTAAATAGCAGTTTATTTCTTTAACCTCAGTGAGATAAACAACATTCAATAGCCCATTGAATATACTGTATAATAAAACCATTTTCAAAACAGTTGACTGCTGGTTGCAAATAAAGCAAAGGGTGATGAGAACTTATGAATCAGACAAGAGTTTCATATCCATTTATGAAAGTCCTTTTTTGTGCTCCCTGCAATATTGGCAGATGGTACAAATAGCTGCATTATCAGCTTTTTTTTAGCCCAGCTTATTTCATGCTTTGTAAAATTAAGTCAAAGTAATAACTTCTTCCCTTTGAATCTCACTTTCAAAGGGATTCTATTAAAAATGTATCTGAACATGTTACTGTACATGTAGGAGGAAAACCCAAATTTATTGCCAAGGTATAAAAACTATCACTTAAAAAATAGTAACATACAGTAGACTATGTAACCTCATATAAAGACGAGCTGTCTAAATTACTGTTATTATCATTAGGTATTTAAGAATATAAGGTACTTTTCAAATGCAATTATCCCAGAATCTGATTTACTAAAGCTGCATGCTTTATTGTACACAGATGAAAGTGACTGAATCAGTTTCAGTATTTTCAGAGACTCAAGTCTACTGCACATGAATAGTGATTAGACAAAATTGGGCTTTCGAATGGAGCAGCCATCTACCCACCAGTCTCCAAGTGAAGGAGACTGGAATACAGAACAAAAGTTCCTATTTTTTAATTTGTAAAGGCATCCTAGGCAAGTTAACATCATTTTACAAATTTGTATTTTTTTCTTCAAAAGGTTCTTATATAGTACCATAAAGATGGAAGAGTTGAGTATTAAACAAAAATTCCTTTAATTTTTTAAGAAACTCATTTGTGTTTAACTGTTCCTTGTATAAAGACTGAGCTGTGAGTGAAGAGAGGGGGGCTAGAAATGTGTATGGAGGTCACAGATTTCTCACCTATCCCTCAGCAACACTTTTTGAGAAGTAAATTTGTACAACAATGATTATTTAGAATGGCAAATAAAGTGGTAGTCATTAGCCAATAGTCTAAAACATAACTGCAGAAAATACAGATAAAAAGTTTAATACATTTTAAAAAACACACTCTCTTTACAAAATTATATGTATTGTAACCTTTTTTAAAAATGTTGGAAATCTTTATAAAAACACAAGGGCAACGGGATGCAATTACAATAGCTACAAGACAGGCATGTGTAAGATCACATGTATCGCAGGAAATATCTTGAAGGGAAGATTTATCATCTTCCTGAAATATGTATATGTAAGGTATATAGTATATAGTATATAGTATATAGTAAGTCATACCGTTGCCTTTGCAGCTCAGTTAAACATATGCGACGCTGACATATTTCAAGAAACATGGTACGGCTCAGGAAGCCTTTCGGAATGTGAAAGCGTGAAGTGGTTAGGAACTTCACACTAGGAACAAAGATACTGTATCCAGAGATTTACCATCTTTCAAAACATACATTAGAAGACAAAGACACGACAGTGACATCCCTCAGGGTTATTTTTGCAATCCTATGACCTGCAGAAAACCTGGGGGGACCCGTCCATTTTGTCTATCTACTGTAGTTACTGGCAGTTTGAAGATACAAGATACAAAATCCTGGTCATGCCCTTTGTCGAGGATTTTACAGAGTCAGCAACCACAACATGCTGCGTCAATGTGTTCCTCATATTAACACTTCCCTGTAGGAATAAGTCCCTCCTGCTAACTGATCTGAATCTACTTCAAATGCACAGAAATATGAATGAGGTAACATGAGTTTAAAATAACACCAGCACATTCTGGGTTGCGTCATCCATCTTCATTTCAGTTCACAGATTAAATTAATCAATTTATTGTTGTTACACAGCAACAGTAGCATAAGGAACATTTGCATTTCCTGCCATGGGGAAGTTTAGTTTCTACAGAAGAAAAAAAACATTTTAATTTGTTTTTTCAAAACTGTCATGGAAACCAATGATGTCAGATTCTAAACTGATAAAGTAAGGTGCACCAGTGTTTTATCAGGGTAGCTCACTGAAACCAATGAAAATGACACGGCATAACTTTACACATGGAAACTGATATGATGTGCTATACTGTATGTTACGGGAACTGTAACTGCACTGAGGAGATCCAGTTCCCCACACAAAAATCCAGTAAAACTTGACTGAATTGTAGCTGTGTAAATCTATACCCAGCATCAGACACATAGCACTCATATTTACAACAAATATTGCACTATGATAATGTCAAAAACATAATGATTATTTGTAGCAGGATTAAATGAATTTTATTTAACAGAAATGAAAACCATATTGAATGTATTATGCGAATCAAAATTTGTCATCAATAGTGATCAGCATCACTAAGTTGCAGAACATGTCTTGTTGGATTCTCTCCCATTCCTCTTCTACAGCCTGGGTAAGCATGTGCCACTTTACATGTGGGATCCCTGTCCCACATCATCTCAGCAGATCCCACAAATTTCCAATGGGGCACAAGTTGGACATGTAGAGTCCCCTCGGTATAATTGTCACATTTTAATCTTGCAAGAAAGCCAACACATAACAAGTAGCATAAGGACATATGTTATCCTACTAGAAGAATGTCACACCAGGATGAGCTTGCAAGAAGGACAAGTGGGCAAGTGATGTTCCAGGACTTGACAAAATTTGTATATTGAATTTCCCTACATCCCTACAAGAACCTACATGGATCAATAGAGTGCTAAGTTTGTTCTGATACATAGTTTAGTTGGTAAATGTTGTAGCTGCTATGTTTCAGTGGATATCAATCTACCTATTTGGCTGAAGAACAAAACACATTAATTTTGCAAATGAATATTTTGACAGCCATCTCTTTGTGTTTAAAGCAACGGATTGTTTTGGGAGTAAGCCTTTCAGTGCTAGACATAAAGTATTAAACATTGTGGGTTTGATATTGTGAAAGAAAAGAAGGTTACTTTGATTATATTAGTTAGAAAATTTTAAATTTCATAATCCTTCAAATATTTTACCTTCTTCTAAACCATAAAAACAGCATAATAATTGATGCAGAATTAAGTCATTGTAGCACGCCTAAACAAAATGGCCTCAGTTATTTAAATCAAATATCTATTTCTAGCTCTTAAAATTCTATAATTAATTACTGAAACACTGCAGCTAGCCCCAGGATTTTGGTACAAGCTAGTTTTTTTTTTATTTGGTATATATACATAACACCTGCTGCGTCTTGTTACACTTCACTGAAAAATAAAACAAACAAGATGTTTCAATCTGGCTTAAGGAAAATGCTTTACCTGATTTCTCTATAACAATTGCAAGTAAGGTTGTCTTTTTAAAAAATAAACAAAAAAAAGTTAATCTATGCCATATGAAGTACAATGCAAACCATGCTTTAATGATTCTGTATTAAACCCCCACCCAGAGTTAGGTTGGTGGAGCTTAACATGTTTTCATCTATCCCAAATTGCTATTTTATGTTTTTAACATGCCTCTATTGTTTTAGCAATCCACAATTTTGCTACATACTTATACAGTATATACATGCTGAATAACAGTTTTGAACAAAATGACTAATTGTACTGTAATTAAATACAATACAATGTATACAATGCTGTCATCTACATTGTTTTAATATAACTTACATTCATATTTTAATAAACATTTAAGTATATGAAAGCTGAAATATCAGATATATACAGAATTATAATATTGCTAGGTTTTAAAAAATATGTACATTTATAACTAAATTTGGAAGTATTATTAAGTATTTTAAAGTGGGTTTGACTAGATTTTCTTTTATCAGTAGTACATGTTAAAGGTCAAACACTAAAATATTTTCAACAGTAGCTAGCTTTAAACTATAGCCTACCTCATCAGAATTTGGGACATACTGTAGGCTACAATTTTACAATTTAGGATCTCTTTTAAACAAGCGAGTTATCATATATAGTAAAATGTCCTTCATGCCAATATTGTTGCTCCTTACAAAACTAATTCAAATTTAAAATAAAAGTGCATTCTTAAAAATATGTTTTGGCACTGTTCTATTATGATATACAATGAAAAATTCTCACTGTAAAAATAATGACCATTGGTTTTCACCAGCTTTTATTTTCTTTTATTTTTACTTTAGTGTTGAATATTTGTACTCCATTTTGCCAGTGTGCATGAACTAGTACTGTATTTAACTGTATCAGCTATTACAATTGTTATTCACACCTTTCAATAGTTTTTCAGTTAGGTTATCTTACCTGACACATTCAATAAAGACAATCACAGACCTAACCTCTGATAAAGTCTTTAAGTGCTCTCAGCATGCACTTTGTTCTTATGTTAAAAGTATGTTTTGCTCTGAAACAACTGAGAAACACCAAATTACTCTCTGTGATGTATCAGTCACATCTTGTTTATACTTACAAAATAATGGCACTATCCAAATTGAAGTCGTAATCTCATTCTTTCTGTCTGTAGATCATAGACATATTTGACCCTGGTTATAAATGACATTTTATTCCATTTTATTCCTAAATCCTGAATCATTCAATTGCTTTTTATTTCTGTCAGGAACCATTTTTATTTCGATTATTTCTAGCGGGAGACTAAAAATAATCCATAAGGATTAAGAAATATGTGTCATATCTAGAAAGAAATGTTAAACTAATAATAATTAAGATTCTCCGTAGATGAATTAAAACACCTCACCATCAATTAACTTCCATTTAAACAGCAGCATCACAAAGCAAACGCAAAAACACACACTGTCACTTTAAAACGTTTAGAAAGAACCTTAAGAAACCTGCGGGGAAAAACTGATGATGAGAAGCCGAGTTGAACAAAATTATTATTCACGGGAATTCTAATACTCACCATCAGAAAAACTGAAATCCTTGACATTTTCCGAAACATTTTACAAAATAAATACACGGGTTCAAAATATGCCCATTTTTAGGACTGCAGCTAATATCTCTCATATGATATGTGGCACATCTTCCCCGCATCAAGGAGGAACCACGTTACAATTACACTTAATACTGATATTTATTCCAGCGCCAGTCTTTTAAAGTCATTGTATCAAAATGAACTGGTTTAAGATAATATGGGATAAGAGCTCGGTTTTGGAAGAAAGGTATAATTCCCATAGCGATTCCGGAGTGCGAATTCATACAGTACGTATGTTTGCCTATTCTTCTATGCTGAGTACCCTCTCTGCACCAAAGCTTTAGCACTGTGGTGGGCGGGTATCAGCAGAATGACGTCACTAATGAAATTCACAGGGATGGACACCCTGCCCCTCAGTGCTGGCACAGAAAGTACCGGATTTTCATGTCTGTTTCCGGGGAGAAATATTCTACTGTTTGTGACGGTAATTAATATATACCGTAAATCAAACATGTGTTTTTCATTTATTTTCAAAATACATAAAATAGCTGTGCAGAGTAATAAAAAGCAGTGGTCTCAGTAAAGATAACTGTGGTAGTTCACCCCAAAAATCAAAAACAGTCTAATTTGTTTTGGCATTGACACCTCTTACACAATTAAGAGATCCTAGTCCTCTTTAAAGCCAGATGAAATAATCAAGTTAAATATGTCCTTTGCTATTAAAAAAAAATCCAAAACTACATCGCTACCTACATCTATTATAACTGTTGATTATATTTAGATGTATAAGAGATGTCCATAGAATTGAATATATTGTAACGCTACGGGGGATCTGGTGGGCGCCCTTGCCGCATTAGGTCGGCCCCCCACCGTCGGGAGCTCGAACCCGGGGCTGTGGTCCTGCTATTACTGGGAAGGGCGGTGACGTTACCTGCTCTGGTAAGCCGGCTCTTATACAGTACCTGTCGGCCGTAAGCGTTACAATATATTAACCTTCAAGAGCTAAAGCAAACTAAGTGAAATTGTGGAAAATAAGACTCAAAGAAATTGCTGAATATAGTCATCTGTTTTTCAACTTCTTCAGTAGTGCACCTTATAGTCTTCAGAGTTAAAACCAGATCCCATGTGTATTAAAGTTATTGAAAATGACAGGTCTTTTAACTATCTACCGTCATGTAATAAAACACACAATTTTAATTGGATTACATTCTCTGTGATACAAAGGCTAGGTAACTAGAGTGAGATACTTCTGATTCTATGTCCGATAATGCATTTTGCAATGATAATGGTTTTTGATGCACTTTGAGCATTACAACGTTCCTTACTACATTTGCCATTAGAAGAAATTAAAATGAAAAGAAAATGTGAAGATTCAGCCCTCTTTATCTTTACTGGGGGGATCTTATCCTTGTCTGTTTCTCTTTTAGTTAAGTTGACTAGACCATCTACACAGCTCTTTCCTCCACCATCAGGCCAAACAAGAGGTCTAAGTAGTCACAGGCTCCATATGAATGGAGTGAAGAAAAGTCAGAATCCAGTGATGCCAGATAGGGAAAGTGGAGTCTGCCAGAAAAGCACTAATACTGCTTCTCAGCCACTCAGATCCTTTTTTGATATTGTGAAAGACCAATATTGGAGTCATGATTTAAAAAGAGGACCAGGTGAAAGACAGGAATATCCCCATCTTCAACATTGAATATACAGTGCCTTGCGAAAGTATTCGGCCCCCTTGAACTTTTCAACCTTTTGCCACATTTCAGGCTTCAAACATAAAGATATACATTTTTTATTTTATGTGAAGAATCACCAACAAGTGGGACACAATTGTGAAGTGGAACGAAATCTATTGGATTTTTGA